AGCTGTTTATGTAGGACAGATAATGTGTAGTTGAACCACCAGGAGTAAAGGTTATGGTTTATTAGTAGAATGAACAATCCAGAGCAAGGTTTGGAGTGAGTTTTAAATACCTACAGCGAGGGTTGAGGAAAATTTGCGCCCTAGGGAGCAGTATTCCTGAGAAGTTTGATTTCCCAGAGAAGGGGGTGGTTCATGTTTCTTAAGGAGTTTGGGCTCCTAGAGTAGGGGGTTGAGGAGAGGGTTCAAGAGAAGTGAGAATATACTGAGAAGGAGATTTCAAGGAGTTTTAATCACCCTGAGCAGGGTATGAAAGAGGTTTTAACCTCCCTAAGTTGGGTTTGAAAAGAGTTTTAATCACCCTGAGCAGGGTATGAAAGAGGTTTTAACCTCCCTAAGTTGAGTTTGTTAGTAGTTCGAACCACCCAGAGCAGAGTTTGCCAGGACTTGCAATCTCACAAAAGCTTCTTAATTTGTATTATCATCCAGGGTCCTGAGTCAGAGTTCTTGTAAAATAAATGCATTTAGAAAATCCGCCAATCAAAATGTATTTTTTTTTTAACTTTTCTAGATTGAATAGAACGGCTGACTTCCGGCTAACGGGGAGTTATTTTAAGGACTGTCAGTAAGCTTTCGATGAAGTAAAAAAGAAAATATGCAATTACATTTTTCCAATTGCCACACCCATGATATGCTTCAACTAATTCAGAACTCTTTTTATTTTTCCTTTGTAATTGATTATTTATTTACTTTCTTTTTTCCCTTCCTTACCCTGCAGAGTTCATCTCCTTGAAATCTTCCAAAATTCCCAGTCTGATAAAAATATTTTTAAAAAGAAATTTTGAAATTTCATCTTTTTTTTTCGTTTGATATTAAGGAGATAAGGTTCAGTAAGTTTAGTTCTATTAAAAATATCATTTCTCCAGCATTGTTCAAATATACAGACCTGACATTTAAAAATTGTGCACAGTCAGTTCAACTTAATATTATGGATTTGTACTTTTCAGTTTTTAAATTACAAATTTGAATTTCTCGTGAAAAACGTTCAAAACCCCAAAAAGATTAAATCCTGAGATGTTCAGTCGTAAAACACACATACTGTATGCTATTCTGATATAATACTGTATCATTGTCTGATATGTATACTAGTGTATCCTTGTCTGATATTATACTGTATCCTTTTCTTATATAATACTGTATCCTTGTCTGATATAATACTGTATCCTTGTCTGATATAATAATGTATCCTTGTCCGACATAATACTGTATCCTTGTCTACTGTAGCCTTGTCTACTGTAGCCTTGTCTGATATAACACTGTATCCTTGTCTGATATAATACTGTATCCTTGTCTGATATAATACTGTATCCTTGTCTGATATAATACTGTATCCTTGTCTGTTATGATACTGTATCTTTGTCTGATAATACTGTATCCTTGTCTGATATAATACTGTATCCTTGTCTAACATAATACTGTATCCTTGTCTATTCTTATTCTGCCAAAGACTGAGTGTAGTCAATCTAACCTTCAAACTAGGATTTGTATTCATCCTCGATGACAGTATCAAGATAATCCGGGAAATATTGCGCCAAAAAACCGCCATTTTTGAATTTTATCCCAATCTGTATTCTTGGGTTATCACGTATTTCATGGGTTTACTCCGGGTTAGTTTATATGCAGTGTCCGGGACTAAACAATATACCATAACATCTTGGAAAGATGGAAGAGAGAAGATAATAAAAATCTTGGTCAAATTCTCCCTCATTTTATCCAAATTTAGCTTCCAGTACTTACTGTTTTACTTGATTACAATTTCCATACTGAATACAGAATTTGTATTTGCAGAATGCAGATGACTTTTTTAACTGACATAAAACTGGATTTTTTATTTTTCCAATGCATTATTATGCCAATATAAGGCTAGCAGATACAGGGAGTAAAAGATGGATTGAAATCTAGCAAATATCACGTAGTTTTCATCTCAGAATTGCACGTTGGGATGATTCAGCGTTAACCGCCCCGTAATGCGCATCTTATTAAGTTGTTTTTCGCAGTTTTTGCGCCTCCAAAGACTAAGTGTATTGTTAACGGGTTAGATATGGTATTTGAACTTGCGTTCAGTATATGTTTAGCTTGTATAATTGGATATATTTAGAGTGCTTAATGACAGGGCTAGAAAATTATGGAAAATCATCGATTTAAATTTTTTTAGGATTGAACTTTTAAATTTAGTAAAGTACACAATTTCACAATTTAAGTACACAAACGTGATTTTCAAAATTTAATTGAAATACTGATCTAGATCTAATTTTTAAATGTTATGAAAGTACAGATGGTCCAAAAAAGTCAACTTTTTGGAATTTCTTTCAAATATAGTAAAACATTTATGTACCCAACTTTTTTAAATGGAATGCCACTTAAAATAGCGTTTACAGTTTCTTTTTTAGTACAAATATCTAGATTACAGATTTTAGGATTTAAATCCTAAAAATTCAAGGTTTAAGAACAAATATTTAGCTTAAAGATTCTAGGATTCAAACCGTGAAAATCCAAGGGTTTAAGTACAGATATCAAGATCACAGATTCTAGAATTGAAACCATTAAAATCCAAGGTTTAAGTACAGATCCTAAAAGTTCAATTATTTGGCTTAAAGATTCTAGAATTTTAACCGTAAAAATTTAGGGTTTTCATATTCTAGGATTGAAACCATAAAGTCTTAGGTTTATCTAGATTACAGATTCCAGGATTGAAACCATGAAAATCCAAGGTTTAAGTACAGATTCTAGGATTGAAACCATGAAAATCCAAGATATAAGTTCCGGGTTCTAGTACAGTAGTACGTAGACCTCTAATTCAAGTGTTTGCTGTTAACGTTGGTTCTTTGTTTTCGTAAGATTAATGATTCTGGTTTAAACACCACAATTTCTTAATACTCAGCTGCTGAATATGGTTTAGGGGGAGGAGCGGGGAGAGTTATGGTTAATTCGAACCCAATTTGGCAGATACGAATTAGTCGGGTTTCCTTTATTTTTAGATTAGGATATTTCAAACCTTCCTGTATACTATTTATCTATGGGTTTACAGTACAATATACCGAATAATATCTGAATGAAAACTTCTAATATACAAATCATAAACCTGGACCTAAAACTTCAAAAGGTCTGATTCTGAATCATATTCTTGGTGTGGTGAATGATTTTGTTATGAGTGGGGGGGTTTTTGTTGGACAAGATATTGATGACTCGACTGGACAACAGAATGGCTCAATTAAGGGCTCAGCGGCTGTAGAGTCTCTCAGGAAATACAAACAACTTGTCTATATAGGAAAGGGTCCATCAAGAAACGCATACAAATGTTTATGTGCTTGAGGGTCTCTAAAAAAATACATAAACATGATGTTTAGGGAAAGGGTTTAAATGCACACAAATGTTTAGGGGCTTTAGGGTTCCTATAAAAATACAAATGTTAATGAGGTTTTTATTTAAAGCTTTTATAATCCATATTTGATTTGTTCCATAGTAGGGTTGAATGTACAATGTACATTGAACATTTTTGTTTTCAACTCCTACAAGCCTCTTTTATTTGGAATTATCCGAGATTGTATCTCTAGGAGTAGCATTTAGTACACGGAGTAAACCTTTCATCTCACAGTCTGGCAAGTATTTAGACCATTTTCGGTATCCGGAGTTAAACACGCACATTCGTCCCACAATTTAGTTTTTGCGCCTTCTTTGCGGTCTTATATAGGACACTTAACCAACACCATTTTGACAGAGAGTTTTGTTTCAAGTATGCAGGAATCTTTAGTTAGGTTCGTAAAACCCACCTTTTTCTCAAGATGGGATTTTAGATTTACTCCATGATTACATCCTTGTAAGCTTTAAGCTTCACTTCATATCTGCTTCTAAATTGTAGGTGGTATCATGAAACACAATACTTATATGTCAGAGTTGTAAAATGTAGTGCATGCATCAAGGGATTTGGTTCAGGCCTGTTGAAAATCCAGATTTATTCGGCGATGGTAGCATTGAAATAAACTAATAGAGGTGCATTGAAATAAACTCTTAAAAGGGTTGCATTAAAATAAACTAATAGAGGTGCATTGAAATAAACTTTTAAAAGGGTTGCATTAAAATAAACTCAGAAGATTGCATGAAATAAACTCTAGTTGCATAAAGAAAGATGCCAAAAAGATCACATCAAAATAAACTCCAATGGGTTGCATTAATATCAACTTTAAGAGGGTTGCATTAAGATCAATTTTAAGAGGCTTGCATTAAAATAGATTTCAAGATTGCGTGAAAATAATCTCAAAGGGTTGCATTAAAATATACTCTATAAAGGTTGCATTTAAGTAAACTCCAAGAGGGTTGCATTAAAGTAAACTTTAAGAGGGTTGCATGAAAATAATCTCAAAAAGTTGCATTAAAATATACGCTATATAGATTGCATTTAAGTAAACTCCAAGACGGTTGCATTAAAGTAAACTTTAAGAGGATTGCATTTAAATACACTCCCAAAGAGTTTCGTTTAAATAAACTCTGAAAGTGTGAAATCCAAATCAATTAGGAGATTACAAAATCAAAATATATTCGGAGATGGTTCTATAAAAATAAACTCAAGAAGGATAAAATCAAAATAAATTTAGATATTTCTAAATCTAAATATATTGGAGCTAGTTCTATACGATAAACTCCAGATTGATTTGGAGATATCCAAATAAAATTATGTAGATCGTAGATTGATGCAATAATATAAACTCTACAAGTGTGAAATTGAAATAATCTTTAAAAGGGAGAATTTAAAATCAATTTGAAGATTTCTAAAAGTATAAAAATAAATCCAGAGACTTGAATGACGGGAGAAATGGCCGCACCCGAGATTGCTAAATGTCAATGACTCTTTCCAAAAGAAATAAGAATTCACTGGTTCAGAAACAGTTTTAGGCTTCTTTAACCTTCTACAAGCTTTTTAATGAACCTGGAGAAAGTATTTCCAGGTTCGGACACACCATGATACCGCCTGGAATCTACAAGAGGGATAATCAGTGTGATTTTAAACCCTCCCGGAGCGGAGATGTTGCCATGAGACTCTGTTCCACCTGGTGGGACGCAGAGGGAGATATTACTCCGGGCTCTGTAGACGAGATCGTTATGGGACTTTCCAGTCAGATCGCAGAGAGGGAGGATCCCGTGTTCTGTTCAGATGTAAGAAACAGTTTGTTCGGTCCCATGGAGTTCTCCAGAAGGGATCTAGCAGCTCTTAATATTATGCGGGGGAGGGACAATGGGTTGTCTGATTATAACACTGTCCGGAAATGTTTTGGGTTTCCTATGTTGACTAATATCAGTGAGATCAACAAGGAGCTCTACGCAGAGCATCCGGAGATATTCAAAACCCTGGAGAAGGAGTACGGAGGTGATCTGATGAACATTGATCTGTTCGTTGGAGGTATGTTGGAGTCCAGCGGAGACCCAGGACCACTCTTCTCAAAGATCATTCTGGAACAGTTTCTCCGGCTCCGGGATTCAGACCGATTCTGGTTTGAAAACACAGAGAACGGACTATTCACTGAAACCGAGATTGCTGCTCTAAGAAAACTAAAACTTTCTGAGATTATTATCTCAGTGACGGATATAAACCGCGGAGATATTCAAGAAAATGTTTTCTTTTTCAAATCCGGAGATCCGTGTCCTCAACCCATGCAGCTCAACGCGACCGAGATGGAACCTTGCATGTTCCTTAAAGGGTTTGATTACTTCCAGGGCAGCGAGGTTCCTTACATATTTGGATGTATTATTATCTGTATTATTCCTGTAATCCTCTCCTGTCTAGCCTACGCTGTTGTCAAAGTGATGAACTCGCGCAGGCGCAGGATCAAGACCAAGTGGGAGGAGAACAACAACGGGAAGTCTGTTGACAAGATGTACGTGAAAGAGTGGCTGCATCACAACGCCAAGCGTAATGTCAAGATTAAGTTTGGTCCTGATGAGGCGTTTCATCTGATGAACAGGAAAGGGGAGAAGCTCCGAACCGTGAGTATCAAGGGAATTGAAAATCTAGTGTGTGAGGTTACTCAGGATAATAGTAAAAACCCCATGATGCTGATCAGTGTCAACAAGGACCATGATCTTGTTCTGGAGTTCAGTGGAGTCAAAGAGCGGAAGAAGTTGTTGACCAAACTTGAAAACTTTCTTCAGAGTCATAAGAAACGACTTGAAACCGTCCCAACCTTTAAGGACGAAATGCTGGCAAATGCTGAGACAAAGGAGAGAAGGAAAGCAAGGTTGGAACATTTCTTCCGGGAAGCGTATGCTTTAACCTTCGGACTGAAACCCGGAGAGAAACGACAACTGGAGGTGGATAGTGATGTGATCATGGTGATGCGAACCTCTCTTTCAATGCAGGAATTTGCGTCTGCTCTGGGTATGCGCGCTAGCGATGTATTTGTGAAGAAAATGTTCGCGATTGTAGATAAGGATAACGACAACAGGATTTCCTTCCAAGAGTTCTTGGATATGATTGTCCTATTCTCCAAAGGCAGACAGGATGATAAGCTGAGGATTATATTTGACATGTGTGACACGGATAGAAATGGAGCTATAGACAAGGAAGAACTATCTGAGCTCCTAAACTCATTAGTAGATATTGCCAAGACACAGCGGCTCTCCACTGAAGAAGTGACAGAACTGATCAACAGTATGTTCAAGTCTGCAGGGTTCCAGGACAAGGAAAGTTTGTCCTATGATGATTTTAAGATCATGATGAAAGAGTTTAAAGGAGACTTCTTGGCCATAGGTTTGGACTGTAAAGGAGCGAGGCAAAACTTCCTTGACACTACAACGAATGTGGCTAGGATGCAGTCTTTTGCAGTTGATGCCATTGCAGAGAGAAGGAAGCACTGGCTCCTTAAGAAGTGGGACGTTTGCTCCAACTACTTGGAGAACTACAGACAATGTATCTTCTATGTTTTCGTATTCTACGTCATTACAATCGCCTTGTTCATCGAGAGGTTTGTGTACTACGCTTTCATGGCTGAGCATAAGGATTTGAGACATATCATGGGAATAGGTATTGCGGTGACAAGAGGTTCTGCAGCAAGTTTGTCCTTCTGCTACTCCCTCCTCCTGCTCACAGTGTGTAGGAATATGATCACCAAGATGAAGGAATGGGCCTTTAATCAGTATATACCCTTGGACTCAAACATTGTGTTCCACAAGATATGCGCGTATACCGCGGTATTTATGTCAGTAGTCCATACATGCGGCCATCTTGTAAACTTTTACCACGTGGCCACTCAACCTCTAGAACATCTTCACTGTCTCAGTCAGGAGTTTAGCTTCAGCAGTGATCAGAAACCAACCATTGCCTACTGGTTGTTCCAGACGTTGACCGGCCTGTCTGGAGTAGCTCTGTGGATCATTGTCTGCTCAATCTTCATCTTTGCATATCCAACTGTTAGGAAGAAGGCGTATAATTTCTTCTGGATGGTTCATCATCTTTACATTCCCTTATACTTTCTCAGTCTTATCCATGGGCTGGCGAGGATCACTGGAGAACCAAGATTCTGGATTTTCTTTGTTATTCCTGGACTCATCTATACCTTTGATAAGGTAGTTACACTGCGTACCAGGTATATGGAGCTGGATATCCTAGAAACCGAACTCCTGCCTAGTGACGTCATCAAGATCAAGTTCTACAGACCTCCTAACATGAAGGTGCTGTCAGGACAGTGGATCAGGTTTACATGTACTCATGTTGAACCCGTTGAGTTTCATTCATTTACTCTAACCAGTGCGCCCCATGAGGACTTCCTCTCCGTCCATATTAAAGCAGTTGGTCCATGGACCTGGAAACTGAGAAACACCTTTGATAAGGCTGTAAACGACAAGGAGGAGGATAAGGATAACCCTGCCAAGATCAGGATCGAAGGACCCTTTGGAGGAGGAAACCAGGACTGGTACAAGTTCGAGGTTGCAGTTATGGTTGGAGGAGGTATTGGAGTAACTCCGTATGCATCAATTCTTAACGATCTTGTATTCGGAACTTCAACGAACCGTTACTCCGGCGTGGCCTGCAAAAAGGTTTACTTCTTGTGGATCTGTCCCTCACACAGATACTTCGAGTGGTTCATCGATGTTCTCCGGGACGTGGAGAAGAAGGACGTGACCAATGTCCTGGAGATGCATATATTCATCACGCAGTTCTTTCACAAGTTTGATTTAAGAACAACAATGCTGTATATTTGTGAAAACCACTTCCAGAGGTTGTGTCGGAGAAGTATGTTTACTGGGCTTAAAGCCATTAATCATTTCGGTCGTCCTGACATGCCATCCTTCTTCAAGTTCGTCCAGAAAAAGCACAGCTACGTGAGCAAGGTTGGTGTGTTCTCTTGTGGACCCGGAGCTATGACTGCTTCCGTGAGAGAGGGTTGTGAGGCTGTGAACCGACAACGCAAGATTCCAAACTTCATTCACCACTACGAAGTTTTCTAAGTCATGAAACCGTTCTAAGTCATTCAATTGCAAACAAAACTAGGTTTAGGAGAAGTCAGTCAAAGTCAGTTTTATCATTGCTCAAGAATATTTGTGTACTGAGACTGAACTAAAAAACATTCTCCTTAGAAAATGTGATAAAGTTTAGGCTAAACCGTTTTTATAAATATTTATTGGGTTTCACCAGTACATTGTTGAACCCGGAGCATCTGCCTTGCTCAATCCTAGAATCAGTATAGGAAGTAAACTCTAGGAAACCATTATTCAAAATAATTTTTAGACTTGACTTTAAATATGTTGCATTTTGATAATATCGAAAAATGTTTAAGAAACGAGTGAGGTTGGGAACAGAAACATTCTCAACAATTTATCTCATATTTAAACATGTTGTACAGTGTTGAATAGTGTCCTATTATTATAATATTTTATATTAAAAACCATGACTAAAATAAAGATATTTTTAAGTTATTTCTTCCGTAAGAAGTGTGTGTAAATGTTAGGGGTTGGCGGGGGATACGATTTACTAGCTTTATTATTTTAATTATTGAAGTTTTATTAAAAAAAATTTACGAAGATATTAGATATTTAGACAAAATTAATTTCAAAAATGTGATTGAAGTAATATGGTCTAATTTCTCAATGAACACTACATACTAATATTATGTTCAATAAAAAATCCAGAAATAACCAGAGGCGACATTTTATCTTCTTATTTTCCGGGAAACCCTGTATTTTATTTCTTAGCAAATTTGCTTGATTTGCATTTTCAATGCTTTATCATGAATACACATATAATGCACAATATAAAGATAACGTTTTATTTTCAGATAAAAAGGTTGAAAATCCAGATTTATTCGGCGATGGTAGCATTGAAATAAACTAATAGAGGTGCATTGAAATAAACTCTTAAAAGGGTTGCATTAAAATAAACTAATAGAGGTGCATTGAAATAAACTTTTAAAAGGGTTGCATTAAAATAAACTCAGAAGATTGCATGAAATAAACTCTAGTTGCATAAAGAAAGATGCCAAAAAGATCACATCAAAATAAACTCCAATGGGTTGCATTAATATCAACTTTAAGAGGGTTGCATTAATATCAATTTTAAGAGGCTTGCATTAAAATAGATTTCAAGATTGCGTGAAAATAATCTCAAAGGGTTGCATTAAAATATACTCTATAAAGGTTGCATTTAAGTAAACTCCAAGAGGGTTGCATTAAAGTAAACTTTAAGAGGGTTGCATGAAAATAATCTCAAAAAGTTGCATTAAAATATACGCTATATAGATTGCATTTAAGTAAACTCCAAGACGGTTGCATTAAAGTAAACTTTAAGAGGATTGCATTTAAATACACTCCCAAAGAGTTTCGTTTAAATAAACTCTGAAAGTGTGAAATCCAAATCAATTAGGAGATTACAAAATCAAAATATATTCGGAGATGGTTCTATAAAAATAAACTCAAGAAGGATAAAATCAAAATAAATTTAGATATTTCTAAATCTAAATATATTGGAGCTAGTTCTATACGATAAACTCCAGATTGATTTGGAGATATCCAAATAAAATTATGTAGATCGTAGATTGATGCAATAATATAAACTCTACAAGTGTGAAATTGAAATAATCTTTAAAAGGGAGAATTTAAAATCAATTTGAAGATGTCTAAAAGTATAAAAATAAATCCAGAGACTTGAATGACGGGAGAAATGGCCGCACCCGAGATTGCTAAATGTCAATGACTCTTTCCAAAAGAAATAAGAATTCACTGGTTCAGAAACAGTTTTAGGCTTCTTTAACCTTCTACAAGCTTTTTAATGAACCTGGAGAAAGTTCAAGGGGGGACAGGGGTATGAAGGGGGGGGAGGAGTATGGAATAACTCTACTAATGAAAGCATTATTAATTCAATTATCTGATCTCGATGTTTTACTTCAAGAAGTATTTCAATCTTAAACAATGTAAGATTGTGTTGTTTTTTGTAAGGGATCTATCTATCTATACATTTACATTTACGACACAAAGATTAAATAACTCCTAAAGAAGAGATGGAAATGGAATCTCTCAAATTTATAGATTTGTTCGTTACCTCTTTTCTCTATACAGGGTGTCCCAATAAACATGGGAATTCAGTGAAGAATTGGATATCGTCTTTGTTATGAATTAGCATTTAATACCTAATTTCAAAAGCCATAATATTATTATGTCTGCTAGAGTTTATCTTATGAAAAGGGTAAAAGACTGTAAAGATGAGTCTATAATGTCTCCATAAGATGAACAGTGAAAACGGACAAGTTTACTCTGTTTGTATACAGTAATTTTCTTGTTTTACTAATTACAACTGTATGCAGTCAAAACATAAACAAACAAACTGTAAACATAGCAGACGAAAATCTTACGGATTACAGCTTTCTCAGAATGTATCACTATACTAAATCAAAGAATTATTTTAAAAGACGATATCGAATTCGTCACTGAATTCCCATGTTTATTGGGACACCCTGTATAAAGGTTTACAATCTCCTATCTTTGTACCTATAAAGATACTGATTTTTTGTTTATTTAGCTATAGGTATTAGGCAATAAAATAATTAACCCTCCTCTAAACTATAAATCAACAATCGTGAATATTAGCGTAAATCTTTATTGTGTACAGTGGTGGGTGATTATATAAATACAATGAAGACGACTTTTTATTTAAGTTTTGATGGATAACAAGCTTTTATGAATTACGAGTTCACAACTGACAAGTAATCAAAGAGAAACTTTTCTAATTTACAGCTTCTCTTGACTGATTAATGTGTAGTGTACCATGCTACTTAATAGCTTGATATCAATCAGAATTAAAATCGAACGTCGTCTTCATAGTATTGACATAATCGCCTATCACTCTATAAACGATAAACTTTTTTAGTATATATAGGAAAGTCTTTATGACTTGTCCCTTGTCTTGTGAATTCACAAGACTGGAGGAAAAATTCTCAATTATTTTCTTGATTGCCCTGATTAAAAAATTCTCAATTATTTTCTTGATTACCCTGACTATACAAGGTTGCCACCCAAAACATGACTTAGCCTTTGATTAAAGTCATTAATATCCCACTTAAAACCTTTATTGTAGGATACAATCTGTACTGTTTTGTGTACCCGGAGAACTGTAAATTAATCTTGAATTCTCTGGACTGAAATTAGTCCCTTTCATGAGGTTCCGGTCCAAGCGCAGCAGGGGAGCTCCGGGTTCAACTCAGGGTTAAGACCAGAACTGCAAAGAAGGTTGGGTCTGACTCAGGGTGTGAGGAATTCAGTGAGACAGTTTACTATGACGGAGGAATGTATTATCTGGGTTGGTTAAATGTATAGATCTCTTTAACAATCCTTGCTCTAGTGGGTTGGGGGACAGCACAATAGAACCCGGGTTTAATCTTTTTATTCAGATCTTAAACTTCTAAGTTTTACTGCTTAAGATATTAGTTGAAATGAATATTTATATAGGCTATTAGCCTTAACCTCGCGGGTTAATAGTAGATAAATATCTTTTAGATTTTAAATTAAGTCTAAACTATTTTCTTGATATTAGTCTAAACTAAGTTCATTATATTAGTCTGAACTACATTAATAAGTTTTAAGTCTTAACTACGTTCTTGAGATATTAGTCTAAACTACGCTCTTAAGATATTAGTCTAAACTTCGTTCATGAGATATTATAGTCTAAACTACGTTATTGAGATATTAGTTTTAACTACTTTATTGAGATATTAGTTTTAACTACGTTTATGAGATATTAGTCTAAACTAAGTTCATGATATTAGTTATAAATCTTAATTACGGTTATCAGATATTAGTTTGAACTACGCTTATGAGATAATAGTCAAAACTAGGTTCATGAGATATTAGTCTTAACGTTTACGTTCATGAGATATTAGTCTAAACTAAGTTCATTATATTAGTCTGAACTACATTAATGAGTTTTAAGTCTTACGTTCAATCGAGATATTAGTCTAAACTACGTTCTTGAGATATTAGTCTAAACTACGTTCTTGATATATTATAGTTTAAACCACGTTATTGTTATTGAGATATTAGTTTTAACTACGTTATTGAGATATTAGTTTTTTCTGAGGGAACTCAATTTTTTAATTTTTTTTTATTCCACGGCCAACGCTGGGCACTTCAGCTAGTGAGTAATAAGTCTTTCTTATGTTCACGAGATATTACTCTAAACTACGTTTATGAGATAATAGATCTAACCTACCTTCATGAGATATTATTAGACATTAAGTTCTTGAGCTATTTGCCTAAACCACGTTAATGAGATATTAGTCTAACCTATGCTCGTTCGAATCTATGTTAGTCTAAACTGCATTAGCTAAACTATATTACATATATAAGATATTAGATTAGTCTGAACTGCATTAGCTAAACTATATTACATATATAAGATATTAGATTAGTCTGAACTGCATTAGCTAAACTATATTACATATATAAGATATT